GATTAAGAAGTTATATTGCATTTGGTTCATTATCAAATATCCTAAAACTGTGCACAGACTTTGCCCTGCAATTCTGCTTTTATGAATTTATCTTACAGAAATAATTAAGAATGTATGTGATTAATGTAGTTACAGGGATGTTCATCAAAAGCATCATTATAAAAGTGAAAGATTAGAAATAGCCTAGATATTCAACAATAGGAGGTTGAGTAAATAAATGGCATTATATCCATAGAATAAGAAACTATACACTTATTAATAATGTTATTATATTCATAAGCCTATTGATATGAACAAATATTTATGATATGCATTAAATTGCAAGATGGTATTGCAGTACAATTTCACATGCACACACACATATCTGGAGGTGCATACACCAAAATGTTAACAGTGATTATTTCAAAGTGGTGGGACTCAACACATTAATGTTTTCTTCTTTTTTGCTTACCTGATTTTTCTAGAGTATCTGCAATGAACATATACAAAATTTATGTGATAAAGAAATTCATTCATTCATAAACAAGTTTTTAAGGCTATTTTCATAGGCTATGGGTGAGGTTGCTTGGGAATGAAAAAGAAAGGGACAAATGTGAACATAATTCCAGGCAACAATTGACAGGACTAGGCAATTGATTAGAAAAAGCAAGCAGGAAAGAGGGGTCTCTGGTGACTGCTTTGAGTATTGGATGACATTTTATAAAGACAAAGATTTTTTTAAGGGAAATATTGGAAGCCTACCTTTTAGCACATACACAAAATCCTTCTCTTCCTCTCCTGTCCTCACTGGGCCCCATCGTCTCCACTGCTCTTCTTCCTCGGGGTCCTTGCAGAATCTCTGGCCTGTGCTGACAAGGCCTTTGTGTCTCTTATTGGCTGTTCAGTCCTAATCATTAAAAAAAAACCCAAAATTTAAGAAAATGTAGTATTTTTAAAAAATTACCAAACAGACCACTTAGAATGAATTTTTCACCCTACAAAATAATTGTTCACTTTGTTAAACTTCACTGCTTAATTTTTATGTCAGCATTTCTAGCTCATTTAAAGCATAGATTTTTTAATAGAGCATTAACTGATGAAGAGAATGAGGAAAAAGGTCAATATCTTAGATGGTACAGACATTGACAATCATTTATTTAGATAAAACATCTCTGAAAAAATAACAAAGTCGATGTGAAAACTCCATTCCATTTACTCAGAATGTTTTTAGAAACATAAGCCACAAGGTAATGATAATAAAAATAGCTAACATTATAATATATAATTTGTGACAGCAACTCTTCTAAGACCCTTACATATGGTATCTCATTTAATTCTTACACTAACCTTATGAGGTAGGTACTATTATTATCTGTATTTTACAGGTGAGAAATGGAAGCACAGAGAAATAAAGTAACTTGCTCAAGGTCACACAGCTAGTAAATAATAGTGACCTACCCCCAAACTACCAGTTTAAATAGGATTAAATTAAAAGTGCACCCATGAGTGGTCCGAGACATCATACTAACTGCTACAGGGGAATACACAAAGACCTTTCCTTTAAGGAATTTAAAATCTAGACATATAAAATGTTAAACACCAATAGAAGAGTTAAATGAAATTTCAAGAACTCTTTTTAAAAGCCTACAAATGTATCAAAGAATGATTTAACTACCTTAAAATTTCTACTTAACGAGTTGACATTTTTCAGTAATATACTATATTAATGAACAGATGTAATATTCAATTCCATCATTGCTAAAATTTTCCGCTGCAGTTAACTATTTCCACAGGAAGTAATGCTTACATAATAGCCAAAAAGTGAGCATATGAGGTTGAAGTACCGACATGAAACTAACAACAATATCCTGGATTAACTCAGTGCATTTTGGATCATTATATTGAAGCCACTCTTCAGCTCCACCTGAGCCAGATTCTCTGTTCCTACCATGTTAATCACCGAAAGGGATCCTTTAAACGCAGGGATTTCAAGCACATCCTGGCAGCCAACTTCAAAGGGCCCTTTCACCTTGCAAATTTGCTCTGATGAGAGTCTCTGCCTGCACCTAACTGATGGGTATGACCAGGTATCTTAGGGATAACTCAATTGGTAGGATCCATGTCATTTTCAACTAAATTGATGAAACTGACTGATGCCTTTGTATCCCCTGAAAAAACCTTATTGAAAAAATTAGTTTGACTCTTTGTACCTGAAAACGTTGGCTGAATAACTAATCTTTTCGTTTTTCCACCAATTATTTTGGCATCTTTTAAATGCAGTCAGAAGATAAATGCTACCCAGTTTCCTTGTTTTTCATTTTTCTTGGCCTGTCTGTCAGGATGTGGATGTAAATGTCAGTTTGTACAAAACGGGGCTGGTTAGAGATGTTTAGTTTGTATGAGGGTAAGGACATAAATTTCTTGCATTAACTCTTCTTCCAGTTATGGTAAAACATTTTTCAATATTTCCTAGGAGTTAGTGACTTGTTTGCTGCTGTATTAGTTAAGGTAATACTAACCTCTGTCATACGAAATCCTCCCAAATCTCAGCAGCTTAATCCAATGGAAGTTTACTTCTCATTCACATAAAGTGAATCACTGGTGGGGTCCCAGGCTGATGGAGGCTCCACTTCGGGCAGATGAGGGAAGAGAGGAACCAAGGACAATTGGATGGGCAGCTTTTATAAGCTCTGTCTGGGAGTGAGTGACACACAGCACTTTTGTCCACAATCCATTGGCCAAAACTTAGGCATGTGGCCTTATAAAGCTGCAGGAAGTGGGGAGGTACCCTCTGGCAGAGCAACTTCTTCCCAACAACCCTACACTATGGAAGACGGGTGCAAATTTTTTGGTGGAAGGACAGCTAGCCACCTCTGTTAACAAGTGCTAAATCCTGAGAAATTATATTTCAGAAACAGTGATCTCTGACTAGCTCTTTTTGAATAAACATTTTCCAAAGCTTACCTAACGTGATTAATTTTAGTAAAACAAATTAAATCAATATCTATTGATCAAGCACCTACTATGTGAAAGTCTCTTGATAAATCCCGTGAAAAAGTTGGGGGGATGGATACCAGGAGGAATGAAACACGGGCTGTCTCTCCCTGAAGTATGGCAAGGAAACGAACTTTTGTGTATTTTTTTTATGTACAATCCATAAGATGTAATTCAAAACATAATTTTACTTCTAGAAAAAAAAAAGAAAAATGTTTGCAAAGAGAATATTTGTTTTATTTTCTGATTAAACATTTTCACTGTAGGAAAATTTGGAAAACACAAAAGTTCACAAAAGCAAAAAAAAGTCTTTAAATGTTCCTAATCCTATCACACAGAAGTAATCACTGTGAACATTTTTCCCATTGATATTACATATATATATATAATTGTTGATAATATATATGCATATTTGAAAAATTATTTTATGAGGATAAATTTCAAAGCATTGAAGTTAAAAACATCAGTTGACCTGTATTCACGTATTTGTCATCATGAAGAAATTTGGGAGAGAATGCCAAAATAAACTGTTTTGCTTTGCTGGTATCTGGGACACCAAGGTTCACGATTTATCATTAAAAGAGAGAGAGAGAAGAGGAGGAACAGTTATACCAACTTTTAAGCATCTAAAAAATAAATGAAAACATGTTGCTGCAAAAACAATCACCATAAACATGCATTGAAATGCCCTACATTTATTCAACATATGGTGTGTGCAAGGACCACCAAAATATGTTCTAGGAGAAATGGTTGGAATGCTGAGGGTATTAGGAGAGCTTTTCTGGCAGTAATAACTGTCCAAAAGCAATTGAGCTCAGCCAAGAGCTCTCCATCACTGGAAGTATTTGAGCAGAAGCTGGAAGCTCTCCACTCCGGAATGTCGAAGAGGAGATCCAAGCATTGGACAGGAGATAGAGAGATGCTCTCAAGTCCTTTCCCATCTAGGGTGCATAGTTACTACCAGACGTATGGCCACACACATGGTTCCTGGAGGAGTGGCTCTGGAGCAGAACTTATTTGAGCTGTTTGGGATTATATATCCTGTCATAAAACTGGCCTAATCAGAAGATCTCCTAGTCAGCTGGATGGTCAGAAACAGAGCTTTCCCAGCTCTGGGACAGTAAGGAGTTAAATGCATCATCACTGGCACTCCAGAGACACCGCTGAGACTCAAATGTGGAGCAGGAGAGGAGGGAAAGGTGGAAAGTAGAAGCAGAGAACCAGGCAGAGAGATGTCCAAAAAGTTACAGCGAGGTAACAGAGGCGACACGTGTCTTTTCAGGAGGCTCAGAAGTAGCCCCAATCCCTGTAAAGGGCTGGTCTGAGGACCAATCAATTCCTGGCTGTTTGCCAGCCACCCTTCTCTTCCTCTGCCCTCTCTTATTTCAGGTCTGGCTGCAGCAAAATGGTCCAAATTCATCCGGTTCCTTCCCATTTGGGCCATGGAGACACAACTGATATTGTATAGAAGGAATCTTGCAAAAAGATCGTATTTCTTTGCCATATCACTAATTCTCATTCAGTCAAAAGCAGCATCTTCTGACTACTTGGTCAGATTAGAGGAACTCTTTAACTCTGAATGGAGAGAGAAAAATACGGTCAGTAAATTGTGCCATCACCTAGCAAAATAACGTAACTAGTCACAGCATTTTGACTTAATTGACCATTGACGTTATAGAATTTTGTTCACCTCCCCCTTCACGTCCGCTCTCAGCCAACTCACCTTAGCTGTTTTGAAAACAAAACAAAATCCCACTACGGCTTTGAAATAAAATTGCATCATAAACAATTGGTAGGTGTGTTTCGAAGTGGTTTGAGCGAGGTGCCACAGAGTTAAGTAGGCGACCACCAAGGTTGCTAAAATATTTCCTGTCCTGACCAGGGTTGCGTTTCTGGAGAATATTTAACAGGGAGGGTTTTAAAGCTTCTAAGGATGTTGAAACTAAAGAACAAATATTGACCCTGAGGGCACCACAACTCTTCTGAAAGAGAGTAAAATACATCCTTTATAAAATGAAAAACTACTTGGCCGAAATATTCCCAAACCCCTGCACAACTGGCCCTCTGAGGGCGAAGGGTCCAATTTGGCACGGCCGGCGCCCGGGCACCAACGCACCAGGCAGCATCGTAGATCTTCCCGCCAGGCCGACTTGAGCCTCCAGCCAGAGCAACTGGGCCCCGTGGCCACCCCAGGCCGCAGCTGGCGGCCGCTGGCACAAACGCTGGATAACTGGGCCAGGACTTGTTCCCGCGGTTCGTCGCCGCTGGAGAGTTTGGGCTCCGCCGAGGCCACCCCGCGCGGCAGCTCCACCAGCCCCAGACGGCACTGGAGGTGAGGCTCTCGCCCAGAGGGACCCTCCCTGCGTCCTGGCGGCGGTGAGTCAGGGCGCGTTATGCAAGGGCTGGCCCGCCGGCCCCCGGCGCCTCCCCCTCGGTCTTTCACCCCGCGCGGTTGCGAAAGCGCGACCCCCTCCCCCCGGAGCTATAAAGCGGCCGGGCGGCCCCGCGGCGCGCTGGCCTCTCGCTCCACGCGCGCCGGGACGCCGCGGCCAGGCTTGCGCGATCTCCGGACGGTGAGCCGGGGCGGGCGGCCGGGGGCGGGCCGGGTGGTCCGGCTGCCGGGCGCTCACGGCGCGCGTTTCCCGCAGGGCGGAATCCTGGGCAAGATGGAGTGGGTGTGGGCGCTCGTGCTGCTGGCGGCGCTGGGCAGCGCCCGGGCGGAGCGCGACTGCCGGGTGAGCAGCTTCCGAGTCAAGGAGAACTTCGACAAGGCGCGCGTAGGTATCGGCCCAGGTGGCCCGGGTCCCCGGCCCCCGCCTCCTCCCTTCCCAGCGGCCGGCCGGCCGAGCACTGCTGGACACCAAACCCTGCTCTCATCTCTCGCAGTTCGCCGGGACCTGGTACGCCATGGCCAAGAAGGACCCCGAGGGCCTTTTCCTCCAGGACAACATCATCGCTGAGTTCTCCGTGGACGAGAGTGGCCAGATGAGCGCCACGGCCAAGGGCCGAGTTCGTCTCTTGAAGTCAGTGGCCTCTGGGCGGCTGCGCTCTTTGTGCTGCAGGGTCCCCTGGGCTGAGCGCCAAACGCTGAGTGGAGAGGGAAGGCAGCACCCGGGGTGGGATGGTGGGAGGAAATGCTTTGCCCGGCCCGGCTCAGGATCCCCTTGGATTTTGCAGTAACTGGGACGTGTGCGCAGACATGGTGGGCACCTTCACAGACACTGAGGACCCTGCCAAGTTCAAGATGAAGTACTGGGGCGTAGCGTCTTTTCTCCAGAAAGGAAGTGAGTAGTCAGCTGAGTGGGACTGTCTTGGGGATGGGGGCATACCTGGGCAAATCGCTGTTTCTTCTCCAGTGGCCCCTTTGGGAAGAATGGTCTGCTTATGGCAGGAAACCTCCGCAGGTTTTGAGATTAGGGGGTGAGATTGGGAGTAGCTAGGCCCCTCCCCGCCCCGCCCTAGCTCCCCCCACCAGTTTAGTAAACCTGGGCCAATCTCAAAAGGACCTTTGGGCTTATCAGGTGACCTCCTTCTGCCATTTTCTCTGTCCAGCCACTCCATGCTTGGACCTCGCACCTCCCCAAGACACAGCGCACATCACCACTCAACTTGGTTTGCATTTCTTCCATATCTTAAATCCTTGCAACAGCTTGACTATTTGAGGCCCCAGCAGAGGCTGGGAGACCCTCATCCAAGGATGTAGGGAGTATTGTGCATGGGGCTGGCTCACTCCTGGGTGCCCTGCCTGCCAATGCTGAGATTTTGAGCCAGGCACAGTGTTCTGGGTGGCAGTGACCTCTTCCCTTTCTCCCAAGCACTGAAACTCAGATGGGGGACAGAAGTGTTGAGGACTCTCAGAAGAGCATCCTAAAATTTGGCCTGATGGTGAGAACACACATCTATATGCTCTTTCTGCTTTTTTTCCCCATTTCTCCTAAGTTTCAAATCTGGAGTCTACTTGGTCCCTAGAGAATAATGCAGGCCAGGGGGCATATATCATGGGATATTAGACTTTCTAATAATTTTTGATTTTCTATTTTCTAATAATTTTCTAATAATAACCTGCATTATTCTCTAGGTACCAAGGAGAGTTAACCCTACAAAGGGGGTTCAATATACAGATGAATAAACTGAGGCCAAGAGAAGTGCTTTGCCCAAGGTCATGCAACAAGTCTGTGAGAGCCAGTGTCAGAAGTCAGGTGTTCCAACTCCCAGGCCAGGATTTGGTGGCCCTGAACAGCAGGGCCTCCTAATACAGCCCAACTTTTACAAAGTATTGTTTAAGCTCTCCTGTGAGAGAAGCCCCAGGGAGCTGTTCAGGGGACTCTCTTAGGTTGGTATCTAGGGCAGAAATGTCCTTTATGTAGCCCGTTGACACTTGACACATACTCCTTGACTTCTCTAAAGTTGTGTGTTAGATGAAATTGCATTTTTTTATCAAATTGCATCTTCAGGATTGATTTACACTGTACAGATGGAGTTGCTGTTCAACAAGGGGCAAAAACTTTTATCCTTAGAAGTAATAAAAATTATTTCAAATAATGCAGCAAAACTTCCTAAAGTGATTCTTTTAGCATAAAAGATACACTTTTCTGATGACGGATTACAAAAATCAATACTGGGAGTTACAAGATTACTCATTTTTAGAAAGCATAAACACATAGTACTCCATAGCGTTTTGAAACACACTCTTTTAGGACTAGGATTCTGTTGGTAATGCATTTGGGAGGGGTGGGAGAGGACCCAAGGAGGGGGTAGGGTTTTGCCTCTTGCCTCCTCCTCCCCCTACAAAACTAGATTAGTTCTACTTTTACTGCTTGTACGTTGAGATTCTATCTAGGATTTCATTTGGAGGGAAGAAAAAACTATTGAAATCTTGAAAGTGATTGCTGTAGCTACTAAGAGAGATAACTACTATATGGAACGCATAAAGATAAATTCCTTCTTAGGTTGCTTTTCAGAAAAGAAGCGGTGCTGTATAGTGGTTAAGCATGCAGGGTTAAAGTTAGACTGCCTGAGTTCAAATCCTAACTCGACCCACTACCTGTGGGACCTTGGATGTGTTCCTTAGCCTCTGTGTGCCTCAGTTTCCTCATCTGCAAAAGGAGGTGATCACAGCACCCACCTCATGGACTTGTGTGATGAGGATGCAATGAGTTAATATGCAGAAAGCACTTAGAACAGTGCCTGAGACATGAGTTCTCTGTAAGTGTATGATATTGTTGCTGCTTAGTTATCTTGCTAGTCATGAAATAATACCTTTATATTCTGGGTCCAGGGTGGGAGGACCCACAGAGACCATCAGGTTCAAATCTCTCATTTTACAAGTGAAGAAACTGAGGCCCACATTAGAGAAATGACTAGCCTAGGGGCATACAGCTAATTAGTGGCACCTAGTGACACCTCTTTGCCCAGGGCATGTAAAGGGGCGTGAACCGTCTCTTTGTTTTCCAGGCATCCCACAAACTGTATGATTTGATGTTTCTACCTTCCTGTATGATTTGATGTTTCTACCTTCCTGTATGATTTGATGTTTCTACCTTCCTGTATGATTTGATGTTTCTACCTTCCTGTGTTTTACGTGATTTTAGGGGGTTTTTACAAACCCTGCTTTCATTCCTCTGTGCTGATTTCTTCCTTCCTTAAGCTTGGTCTAGCATTAAACACTGACTTGGTCAGGAGGATTTGAAGGCCTCAGAGAGTGGCCTGCATTCTTGGTCTCTCCCCTTCTTCATATTCTGCATTTCACCAAACAGATATGTTTAAAATGAGGTACACTTATGCAGACAAAATAACTCAGGAACAAATGCTCATTAAATTTGTGAAATTATTTTAAAATTAAATGTAATCAATTTCTACAGTTGAATATTAAATTTCAGTGTTAACAGACTCTGACATGGCTGCTGCTCCAGCCTTGGGCATGCTCTCTACGGGCCTCCTTCTGCTCTAGCTCCACCAGCAGCAAGCAGGACGTCTCAGGGGTTAAGGATGCTGCCATTAGCCCATCTTGGTTGATTACAGGCTTCACCATTGATTAGCCTCTCTGAACTTCGATTTTCTTAGCTGTTAAATGGGGATAAAGAATAGTCCCTATTTCATAAGATTGTTGGGAGGACTAATTAAGGTAATGCATGAAAAATGCTTAGCTTGATGAACAATAATCACTCAACAAATACTATCTATGACCATCATTGTTTGGGCTCTTCCAGAAAGACCTGGACAAAGGCTCTGCTTCGTCCACCTTCCAGATAAAGTCTCTCACTTTGCTGGTTAAGAGCCCTTTCAGGCTCAGTAACAATGTGGACCTGATTGTCTATATCAGTTTCTCTAAGTCAGGATCTCTGGACCACCTATATCTAGATCAGGGGAGTGCTTGCTAAAAATGCAGATTTGTGGGCCCAAAGCCAGACTTATTGAATCAGAAACTCTTGGGGTGGGGCCGCAGAGTCTGCATTTTTAGTATGCTCCTTGGGTATGCTCCTTCTGCACAATGAAGCTTGAGAACCGCTGCTCTAGATAATTCAATCCAAAAAGTTATCTTGGCTTGCTTGAGTTTCAAGGCCTCACACTCCACTCACTTTGGCAGGGCCTGTTGGATTTTTGGGAGCAATTAGCCAGAAATAGCATCACACCCACCATCTGGATCAGCTGGACTGTTAGACTTGAGAACGGCAGGGAGCTTGTCACCTGGTTTTGTCACTTTAGATGATTGGAGGACACAGGTGTAGGCAGCTGAAGGGACACGTTCCAGGCCCACCACAGTGAGTGACAGATTTTCAAGGGAGCTATGTCACCAGAGACATCCCTCTACCAAGCATTTTCTTTGGCTTTTGGACTGGCAATCAAAACCTCTAAACCCTTCTGTGTGGGTACAGTGGATGCAGCAGAGTGTAACCCCACTTCCTGGGATGGTAGAGGGGAGTCGGGGCTCCTGGCCTTATGCCCACTGTCTTGATCACTCTCTGGCCATAGCTCTGCTGCGTGCAGGGAGCTGCTGTCCAGAAACGTTGGGGGTATCTGGCTCTCCAGAGGGACCCACCCCAGCTGCTGGGAGAGAGGAGGTTGGAGGACCGAGCTCATTCTTTCGCGCAGCGCTCAGGCAGTTCATTTCTTGTCTTAGGAGGCAGAGTCTGGTAAAGATTGTTATGATTTAAATTCTTTGTCTGAATGTTTAGCCAAAAAGAGCTTGGAGATAAACCAAACCAACTTAGCCCTTTTAAAGTCAAGAACAGTAGTGAATTTTCCTAAAACCAAGCATTGAAAGTTACTCAGTTCCTATGTCAGAATTTACATTCTGGCAACAATTCTGGAAAAAAAAGTTAAGCTGCAGATTTGCTGAGCTAATAGCCACCTCGATCATGAATTCATGAATTTCAAAGGGGAGTGCTTTTGTGTCTGAGGGGTCACCCGTGACTGACACAGTGAGCCCCATAACTAGGGAGGAAATGACTTTATTCGGAGAGGAGGAAAACTCTGCTCAGATGCTCGGGAGCCTGTGAGGGAAGCTGGTGGTTAGAGTGAGGCCCAGCAGGTGGCCCCACGGCTTCTGTTCTTGGCCTGTCTGCTGACTAACTGGGTGGCTACCGCTGAGCAGTCACATGTCTCGGCACTCCCACCCCTGGCCTCTGACACTCTCCCCGTGGGAAAGCCTGGGAGATGCAGGGATGGCTCATTCTTCCTCCTGGCGGGCATGGAGTGAGCTGAAGAGAGGGCTCCAGCACCCACTCCTGTGCAGCTCTCCTGCAAGGCTGGGGTGTGGGCTGAACCCCTCCTAGGCTGGCACTCCGGGGGTTCTTAGAGCCGAGAGGCACCCCCAGAGGTGACTTAGGGTGAGCATTAGAGATCTCCCTTCCACCCACTACTGCTGGGGGGTCCAGGTTCCTCTACGTTCCTCCAGCACAGATACTCTCCCCATAGAGCAGAGAGCATCACTTGCTCATGACCTGGATGTAAGATGGAGACACAAAGGCGTTTTGTTTCTTGTTCCTTGTCCACTCTCCCCCCAATTTACTGATTGCCTTGAGACAGTGTGGTGTAGAGGTGAGGCACGTGGGCTCCGGAGTCAGATTGAATCCTGCTTCAGTCCTGCTCTTTGTGACCTGGGTGAATTATTTAATTTCTCTGTGCTCGGTTTCCTATCTGTAAAATAGTGTGCACTTTTGGGTCATTGTGAGGAATAAATGAGAAGACATGGAAAATGTCTACACAGTGACTGACACATAATTAAGTGCTCAGAAAGTCCTAGTCATGGTTGTATGTCAATGAGAATTTTAAAGTAAGTAGAGATGTGGCACTTTTTACCAAATATGAAGTAAAAACTTGGATAAACTTGAGCATTGTTGTTTCTCCATGGAAAACCTCTCACTATGTTCTTATTAGTATAATTTCCCATTAATCTTGCCTTTGTTGACATTTTTACCACCTTTATTTACACGTGTTCTTCATGGCTTACATCCCAGCCTCAGGAATAAATATAATGTAAATTCTATTAATGTAAATTCTTCACGGGCTCAGCTCTGCCTCTATCAGGGGCAAGAATACAAGCTCTAAGAAAGAATATCTGATGTCAGAGGGTAGGCATCTTGTGCCCCCGAGGCAAACACTACTCTCTTTTGCCAGCATGGAGAAGTGAGTCAGGTTACTAAGCCGGAATTATGGTGGAGCCAGAAAAGCCGTGAACCTGATCATCAGAGTGGCGTCCTCCAGTGGGTTGAGAGGTGGGAGGGCCTCGTGGTTAGTGAGATGACCGGGGACTAGCTAATAGAGATCAGTGCAAAGATACGTCCTGATGTTGGGGATAACATAAGTTGGGGTGTCAGACATCAGCCACAAAGGCACAGATATTTTTGGAGGGTGGATGGAGAAGACGACAGTAGAAAGCTCTGTTCTGTGGTTTTGATGGGCCCACATTCTCCATTGTTCTTTGGAAAGATGCTATCACATTTGTTGTCAGGGTGAAAGAGAATCATTGAAGTGAATGAGGTTCCCCCCACTCCAGGATTTTTTTTTTTTCTGTAAAGGAGAAAAAGATCTTTTCTCATTTTCCCGATTTTATACAAGCTCTCAGAATTCTCTGTAGTCTCCTGCTTCCTAAGGACATGAACCCAGTTCCAGGAAGTCGCTGGTTTCTCTGTGGTGAGTTGCCCTGACCTCCGAGCCCGCTGAGGGAGAGGCATGGGCTCTGGGCTTTCTGCTTGCAGACGATGACCACTGGATCATCGACACGGACTACGACACCTATGCCGTGCAGTATTCTTGCCGCCTCCTAAACCTCGACGGCACCTGTGCTGACAGCTACTCCTTCGTGTTCGCCCGTGACCCGCACGGCTTTTCCCCGGAAGTGCAGAGAATCGTGAGGCGGAGGCAGGAGGAGCTGTGCCTGGCCAGGCAGTACAGGCTGATCACTCACAATGGTGAGTGGGGCAGGAGCAGGGCACCCCTGGCTCGCCCTGAGGGGCAGTGTGTAGAGAGTTTGGGCCCGCATACCACGAAGATGCACTTCATCTGCGTGTAAGAGAAAATAGGGAGTCTTAGGAGCCCCCTCTGGGCCCAAGTCCTTATTGACCACGTGTTTCACTGGCCTTATCATGGGGCTGATGCTCAAGGAGTGTGCAAGGGCCTTTTTCCAAAACCTGGCGCTTTTTTTTTTGCTGAGGAAGATTTGCCCTGAGCTAACATCCGCTGCCAATCTTCCTCTTTTTGTATGGAGCTGCCACCACGGCATGGCCACTGACGGACACATGGTGTAGGTCCGTGCCTGGGAACTGAACCTGAGTCACTGAAGCAGAGCACTCCAAACTTAACCACTAGGCCACCGGGGCTGGCCACAAACTGTGGCACTTTTAATTAAGTAAAACTGCAGGGGGTACTCTCTTCTTTTTTTTTTTCTTCTTCCTTAGGCCCAGTCTGTTCACATGATTTTGTCCTAGGTACACTGCCCCAAAAGCCATTTTAACTGGATTAATATTATTTGGGGATTGAGTGGTCCCCATGAAGAGCTGGGCAGCAAATGTGGCCATTGATATAAAACTTAGAGAGACACCACCATAGCAAGTTCAAAAGAGAATGATTTCAACAGATGTTCTTCTTCTCATATGGAACCAAATAACCATTAAATTGACTAGTTGGTTTTCCTCACTTACGTTTTTTGAGATCCCTTGGAACAACTGTTGGATCCTTTTATAGATATTACCCTTGTCTAATCTTGATTTAAAAACCAGAAACATTCTGGAAGTAAGTGCACAGTCTATTTTGAATTGACACTCACTCACTCTCATGGGAAACTGAGTTTCAAAATCCAAATAGGGTAATGCTAAAATGTAGGAAAAAAAGAAGAAAACTGAATTTGTCTGTTGGTCATCTAACTAGCTGACCCACACTACACCAAACGATATGAACCCAGACCAAAAACATAAATCAGTAAGGTTTAGATATTTTACCCTCAGGCAGCCTACGGGAAAGGCCAGTAAAGGATTTCACCACGCCAGACTCCAGGCCAAGCCCTTTGCCTGCATCATCTCACTTAATCCTCAGAGATACCTTATGAAGTAGATACTCTGATTACCCACTTTCTGCAGATGAGGAAACGGAGGCCAAGAAAGATTAGAAAAGTTGCCCAAGATTTTCAATAGGTAGCCGAATTGGATGCAAACCAAGGGTTTTTGTGATTCTGAAACCTCTTGTGGCACCACCTGGTGACACATGATATAGGACATGGTGAACATTCTATAAAACTACTAGCAGAGTAACCAACTAGTCAATTTAATGGTTACTTGGCTGAGAACAGGCTCACTTGGCCTCCACTTCCTGAAATAGGAGGATGTGCCCCCAACCCTTTGAAATGCAGTGGGGCAAATTTAATACAAATAAAAAGAACACTATTTCATATAGCCGATCCTATTCTCTCAGCCCCTATTGCCCCCAGAGAAATTCAAAGAGTTTTAAAAACAGCCTTGGGGATGTTTATAAATTACAGCCACATCCAGTTGTAACCGTACAAAAAGCATTTGAGTAAAGCTGAGTGCACCATGATATTCATTATCTACATTAGACACTGGGTCCATCATTCTGTCATTAATGGCTTTGTTTTCTGTCTTTCAGGTTACTGTGATGCTAAATCAGACAGAAATTATTTTTAGCAACATCGAGGAAGTCAAGTTTCATTTGAAAACTTCCCACTAACTCTCACTCAGACTTCGACTCTATTTATCTTAGTTTAGTTTGGCCCTCTCTTCTCCCCTTCCCTTGGTAAACATAAAACCTTCAGTCACATAAAAATATATGTGGGAATAAGTGAATCTGTGTGCATTCAAATGTATGTCTTTACTGGAGTTTTCTAAGGAATCATTTGAGGCTTAGGATTCCAGACTTTGATTTATTAAAATATAGTCACCCGTTTCCTACGATTTGGGTTCTTATTTGTGTTCCCGTGTATGTCAAATTGAGAAGTCCTGAAGGTGGTTGGGTAGGGTGCACGTTTGTGTACCAGGAGGCGTTCTTCCCTCTCTCCCGGCTCTTTATGACCTTTGGCCTATTGTAGTGCCTAAACCCCATTATTAATGACTATGGCTTCTCCCAACTTCCTGAAAAAGGGGTTTCCTCATTAACCCGGGAAGACCTTAACTACTAGCCTGGCCAAGGCCCCAAGGCCAAAAGAGGAGGTGAGTGTAGGCTAGGCCAACCCAGTGAGCCCAAGGCCTCAGTCAGCCCTGGGCCCATGAGGTGGGCAGGATGGCGGGCTCACCCACAGCTGGGTTTGAGAGGTTGAGAGGTATGGGTCTGGGTGAGCTCTAGGAAACACCCCCAGTCCTTCATGGTTGCTAGCACTATTCACTACTTGTTTCAGATGTGGCCAAAATGTTGATGGAGAGGAGGCCCTCACCCTGAGAGGAAGCCAGGTCTGGAGGAAGATCACGGCGCCCCCTACCTGGATCATGCAGGAAAGGGGGTAGGTGAGGGTGGAAGTAGCTGGGACTGGGGCAGATCATTGTCCCATACCATTAGCAACACTTGTGAAAGCTAGTGTATAACCGCATGCAAAGCCATTTGCCTCAGTTTCCCAAGAGTTCCCAGGAGTCTCAGTTTCTCTTCTTGAGAAGGAATCTGTCTTTGGTACCAGAAAGTTTTAAGTCAAAATCCAGCTCAGATATATATTAGGTGTGTGATTTGGGGCTGGTTATGTGGCTTCTCTGAGCCTCCCTCTTCTCTTATGTAATAGGAGAAACAGTACTTGCCTGATGGGATGCAGTGAGGATTTGGTTAGAGCGCTAGGAGCTGTGCCAACACTGGCCATGCCAGGCTGACATCTATGAAGTGTGTCGGGAGGTGGGGAAGGGCACCTCTCTCCCATGTGTGAGGAGATCTCTGCCTGGGTGATGGTATACCAAGGCCCAGGGGAGGCTCCTGGGTCCCCACCACCATGTGCTTTGTCCTCCCACCAGGGAGGGAGGAGACAGGTGACCATGTGTGGGAAAGCTCTGCCTGTCGTCACATGGAACAGCAGGCTGTCAGGGCCCGGCTCTTCAGCTTCATTCTACAACCCCAGAGACCCATAAGATAGCCACATGTCACTTAAAAATACAGCTTTAATTTACTGACTCTATTAACTAAAGATGAACAAGAGATATCTGTCCTCTTGTTCGAGCTTGTGCTCGCCATAGATCTTACTTCAGTAGAAGCTACTCAAGAAATTCCACAAGCAGTGGCAACTACTGGCACTGATTTACTTGGCAACAGAGATTTGTTGAGACCTACTATGTGCCAGGCCCTGAGACACTGCACCTTCCACTCATTGGCCCAACCTCCAAGTGATGGCATGTCCCTGGGTTCTCTTTGGCTCTGGCTTTTTCTCCTTCTCTCTTCTCTCCCAGGGATTCTTCATAAAACCACAGACCTGCAAACACCGTCTGATAACTCCCAACACTGTATCTTCAGGCCCAGGCTCCACATTCCTGCATCCAACTGCCTGCTGTCTATTTGGTTCTCACTGGGATTTCAAACTTACATGACCCAAATGAAACTCTTGGCTCTCCCACCCCCATTCTTCTCCCAGTCTTCCCCATTTTTGTTGCCTGCCCCACCATTCAACCAGTGTCAGGCTAAAAATCTAGGAGTCATCCTTGAATCCTCTCTTTCCCACACATTCTACATCCTGTCCATCAATAAATCGTGTTGGCTCCGCCTTCCAAAAGTATGCCCCAAGATATTTCTCACAACCCCCATTGGTGCCGCCCACCTCCAAGTTCCCCAACTTCTTTTTCTACTTCATCAGCTGTGTAACTGGTCTCCATTTTTATTCTTGCTCCTCAAAGTCCATTCCCTGCCCAGCAGCCAGAGTAATATTTAGAAACATATATCAGGTCCGATCAGTCTCCACTTGCAAACCTCCAGTGGCTGCCCATTGAACAAGAGTAAATTTCCTATGGTGGCCTCCCAGGCCATACAGAATCCAGCCCTGTAACTTCTCTGGTTTCAATAGATGGGCTCCAGCAGGGCACCCCTCTGTGCCAGCATCAAGGACAGGGCCCGATGCAGAGGAGGCTCGTCAGTAGTTTGCTTTGCTTTGGTCACACCCATCTTTCTGTCCCACAAGCACTGCAGCTCTTTGCACCAGGGTCTGCTCTTTTGCAAAGCCCCCTTCCCCTGGATTCACGTGGCTGCCTCTTACTTGTGGTTAACCTTTTGGCCCAAACATCACGCCTCAGGAATGTCTTCCCATACCTCTCCCCACCCCATCTGAATTGCCATCACTGTCCTGTTTTCTTCATGATGTTAATTCACTCCATGATGCTATATTATTTATTGACTTCGGTTTAGTTTCTCCCCCTGACTAGAAGGTAGGCAAGCTTCAGGAGGGCAGGGGCCATGGCTGTCTGGGTCACCACTGTATTCCCAACACCAAGAACACTTGGTGGCCACGGCACGTGCTTAAGAGGCATCTGACAGGTGGATCAATGAAGGGACTCACTCATGCTCTCACTCTCAATCGGTTTACGAGTCATCCTATCTTCTCTATGATTTCATGACACTGCTTCTCCTAAAGGGTTCCATGGCATTTCTTATAAATGAAATAAAAAATGTCACCTTTAATTGTTCCTTGGAAATTCTTCTAGTGTTCTTGACATTAATGAATGAGCCTGAGGACTTGCAAGTCTAGGGTGGCCATGACCCTTCAGAGGAAAAATTTGGGTCCTAGATCAGTTCCAAGACTCACTACAGAAACCAGCCAAGTGTGGCTTTATATGCAGGAGATGTGATTGCTGAACAGTTATAAATTAAAATTTATTAAATTCAGTCATATTACAAACACACTGAAAAAGTTCACATTTAAAGGAACCCATCACAAATCCTTTTAGAAAGGATAAAATTGTTATACTGAATGATCATCCCTTAATTTGATGGTGCTGTAAATGTGTATCTGCATAGGTTACATTTTCTTGAAGCAGGGTGCACTGGTGTGATGGTCCTGGAAATTAACTCGCTTTGAAAACATGCCATGGCTTGCCGGAGAGTGACAAACTCTGCCTATAGAGAAAAATTAGTTAGCTGGAAATAATGGACAAATCATTTTTTCTGACAGACGTGTCTGTAAACATAGCTCCCTTTTCTGAGAACAAGAAGCAGCGAAAATTTTTCCTCCATTCGTTCCTAAACAGTGACATGTTGTAGAGAATGGGGTTTACGGCCGAGTTGGCGAACGTGAAGGCCACCACCCAGAAGAAGACGGTCGGCCAGATGACCAGGTCTTGCTTGAAGTTCTGGATCAAGATGAGGAGGATGGTGATGATGATGGGGCTCCACATGATGAAGAAGGAGACCATGAGCAGGAAGAGGGTACGGAAGAGCCGGAAGTCCTGCCGGGACACGCGGATCTGGTGGCTCTCCGAGTAAGCCAGGCTCACTGTGAGCCTTTTCCTTGATGCCTTTGTGATCTGCAGGAACACAAAACAGAGCTGGAGCCATGTTTTACTGCAGATGTTAGGGTTTTTGATTTAGGAGGAGCAGAGGGCCCAGGAGTGGGAATCGGCCATCTCCACTACACTGGGGCTATTTGGCTTTGGAACTTTATGTGGAGAGAGGTCCTTTCTCAGAGGCCTGGCACTCTGCCTGTGATTAGGATGCACTGGAGAAATGGGGCACCTGGCTGGCCTCCTGAGAAATAAGGCAGAAAATCATCCATGTTGTAAACAGAGTTGATGAAGGGAAGTGAAAAGCTTTCAATGGATGGTGTAGAAGAGGGATGCATGAATAGAAGCACCTTGCTATGGTCTGAATGTGTCTCCCCAAATTCATATGTTGAAACCTAACCCCCAAGGTGGTGGTATTAGGAGGTGGCCCTTGGGAGGTGATTAGATCACAGGGATGAAGGCCTCATGAATGGGGTTAGTGCCTTTATGAAACAGGCCCAAGAGAGAGCTCCCTCGGCCCTTCCACCACGTGAAGACACAGCGAGGAGTCAGCAGTCTGCAGCCTGGAAGAGGGCTCTCACCAGAACCTGACCAGGCTGGTGCCTTGATCTTGGACTTCCAGCCTCCAGAACTGTCAGAAGTAAATTTCTATTGTTTATAAGCCACCCAGTCTGTGGTATTTTGTTATGGCAGTCTGAACAGAGTAAGACACACATTTTCCCTGTTATTTCTTTTTTTAAAAGAGGTAAGTAATCAATTGTATAAAAGGAACAAACTCAATATGATACTGAAGGAGATCAAATAAAAAATATAAGGCCTCTAGGCCCTGTCTCCTGCATTTCCACTCCCTAGAAGCGACCAAAGTGAATGGTTTCCTGTATGTCCTTCTGGAAATGCTTTTCCTCCATACATATGCCTGGCTATGGGATTGTAGGCATCTGCACTTTTGCTTTGTACACGAATGGGACCATGTTACACACTTCACTCTGAACCTTGCTTCTTTTTCACTTAGCAGTGTATCTTGGTGCTCATTCCATATCAGCCCCTCATTCTTCTTATCTTGTTAGTGATTCCATAGTGTGGCTGTACCACAATTTATCCAGGCCCCTACTGATGGGTATTTGATTTATTTAGCCTTTTGTCTGTGTGTGGGGGAGGTGGTATAGGTACTGGTTGAAATGGCAGAAGACATACTTGTCCCTCTCCTCTCCCCTCCAGGTTGTTGGGCAGGGAAGAAGGCAATGGGAGATGGTGTAAGGGTGTGGCCCGACCAGGCAGAAAGGGAGCACTGAACCCCAGCACTGGGTTCCTTTCCGTTCTTAGGGACAGTTGAAAATGGATCCTAATCTCACCATAGGCTCCTGAGTTGGGCGTTATGGAAGGTGGATGAGTGGAGGCTGTTCATTTGCTAGGACAGCTGCTGCCAGGTGTCAGTCCAAAAATGAAGCTGGGTCTGGGAAGGGCTCACCAATGCGTGGGGTCCAGGGTGGGGTGGTGCTGAATGATCCCCTAATCAGCAGGGTCTGTTGGCACCACCACGAGCTACATGGAGTCAGAGGCAATGACCAACAGAAGGGGACAGCCACCCTACATGGGCATCATGCAGTTCCTTGTCCATGAGGGAGATTGGGGCATGGACAGAGCAGTCCATCCTCCTCCCCCACCCACCCCACTCCCATCCTGCACTGTGGGGAGGGGGAAGCTTTAAATTGACCATGAGATTGATGGATTAAAATAAGCAGGTATGCCCCCAAAATGACGGGAAAGTTCTGGAATCAGACTTAGGTGTCATTAAAGTTTGCCCTTCCCAGTAAGACAGAGAAGCTGATCAGAGCAGTGCTGGTGACATATGTTGAGAAATCAAAACCATTTCATATTTATGCCCCCAGTTGAGAGGTGACGATCGGTGGGATAAACATCCTCATGCGTATCTTTGCTCACCTAGGTAAGCGTATCAATAAAATAAATTCCTAACAGTGGAAATGCTAAGACTTCTAATATTTTGTACTAATGAGCAGGGCCAACATTACAGCAGAGGGATTGTGGGCAAGGATGGCAACCTTGGTTACATGGGTTTAGAAGGGAGTTCTGGACTCTTCTTTTGGGAGACCTTGTTACTTCCAGGGTCTCCTGTCCAGTCTGTTCAGTTAGAGAGTCTTGCTTCAGCGTCAGTCAGAGAGGCTGGTTATTAGTTGGCAGTAGGCAGCCTTGGACATGGAAATGGCCCATCAACTGAAGCAGGCTGACCAGATTAAAATAAAGCCCTGCAGGGCCTCTCGTCCCACTGACCCACATAACAACAGTATGTTTGGAACATGCAAACGCTTCATAACATCTCAGAACCGCAGTGTTGGAGCAGGATGGGGCCCGTGCGTCACTCGAGCAGCACTTCTCAGACTTGACTGTGCCCATGAGACACACAGCATGATCTTATCTAAATGTCGATTCTGGTTCAGCAGGTCTGGAGTGGAGCTGAGATCCGGCATTTCTGACAAGCTCCTGTGTGCTGCTGCTGCTCTTGGTCCGAGGACCACACTTTGAGCAGCCAGGGCCTACTCCACCCCTTCCTTCCACAGGTGAAGAAATAGGCCTCCTGAGAGAGGGTTTAGTCAAGCTCCTTTGAAAACAGAAGCCTTGGAAGTGTTCCCTTCAGAGAGCCAAAACCCCATGAAAGCTGCGTCTGTGAAAGAGAAAGTGGAGCTGCCATTTAAGTGTATCTCCAGGCACAAGATGGTGGACACGTTGGGTGGGTCTGACCTCCGGGGCAGCTGGAAAGAGTCCAGTGCTCAGGTGCAGGCTGCCCTGGGGACACAAACAGTGTCCAGCCCTTCTGCCTGATTCTAATTGTCCTCTAGGCATAGCCAGAGGGCAGAAGGCCTGCTGTCCCCTACCCCTTGCTCAGCTTCAACGATGCCAAGAGGTTGGGGGTGGGTGAGGGACAAACTGGCGCACACCCACTCCAGGATGTGGTGGGACACTGTATCTGCTAGCCTGACAGGCTTCATTCTAGCCTGTGACCCCTGGCCCCAGGGAAGAGATCCAATTCAGAATGTCTTGGCCACATTTGCGGTCCTTGCTAATGCCCGTCTGCTGAGTCTGGTCCTGTGTCCTTCTGCTTCTCCTGCAGGAGCAGGCTGCTGGCCACAGTGGGTGCTTACACGTCTGGAGACTTGAATGGCCACAAATCTCATTGTTAGCGCTGTGCTGGCCTTCCTAGGCCCGTTCCCCTAAGATTCTTGAATCTCAAGAGAGGAAGCAATTCGAAGGCAATTAGCATCATTCACAATTTGGGCAAGTTTGACTCCAAGATCAGAATGGCTTAAAATAGGGCCGGCCCTGTGGCTTGGTGGTTAAGTGCGTGCGCTGCGATGCTGGCGGCCCGGGTTCGGATCCCGGGTGCGCATCGAGGCACCACTTCTCCGTTCATCCTGAGGCCGAGTCCCACATACAGCAACTAGAAGGATGTGCAGCTACGACACACAACTATCCACTGGGGCTTTGGGGGGAAAAAATAAAATAAATAAAATCTTTAAAAAAAAAAAGAATGGCTTAAAATATTCTCCTTAGAATACTTCTAACTAGCTAATTAAAGGATAGCCATTTAATTGTTTTATGACTAAATGCAATTTCTTGTTTGCTTCCAGGTAGTAGTTCAGGTCTACTACTTGATGGGGACGAGGGCCACAGACGCTAGGTGAACAGGCCCCATTCCCCCCGACCCACTCCCCAACAACAAGGGCAGTAGGAATCTGGATCCCTGAGCTTAATGGAGGCTACTGTGTGCCAGGCACTGTGCCACGCATTTGTTTTCTAAATTGTCACATTGAATCTTTACAACTACTCTTTGGATTTATACTGTTATTATTCCCACTTCAGAGATGAGGAAATTGAATCTCAGGAATTTGAATAACTTGTTAAAGTTCACTCCTTTATAATGATAAAGGGTCAAAGTTCCCATCTGTGGAAATCCAGCTCCGTTGAGCTAAAGATGAGCCACAGCATAAAAGGCTCCAACAGGGTTGCCATCCTCTTCAGCTCTCCCCTCCACTGCCTGCTCTGCAGGGTGGGTTGCTCGGGAGACACAGCCCGCCATCTCAGACCCATACGCTGGAGGTCACATGGGCACATCCAAGTCTGGAGGAGTAGAATCAAAGTTAGGTGAGAGCCGGTCAACCTGAGCCCCCCTTGGCCAATAGACCTGGGAGAGTCACAGTTGGGCAGGGGGGGAGTAGGGAGGCTGCAGGGAAATGACACCACCTCTGAGAAGGGGTGTCACTCTAGGCCTAAGTGCAACCTGGGGAGAACATACGGGGTGATTCCAAGCAGCATCATCCCTTGGGCTGTCCACATTACCCTGCCATAACAATGGAGTCCTAGGTACAGTGTCTTATGAATATTTTTTGAATGAGCGATGTTGATGGAAGGTCACATTTATTGAGCATATACCATTTGCCTGGCCTTGTACCTATCACTTTGTTTTTTTCTTTGCATTCTCCCAATCATGCTGTGACATTTGTACTTGATGATCCCCATTTTATAGATGAGGAAACTGAGGCTCAAAGAGTTGAGGAACCTGCCCAATAGAACCCAGCTAAGATGTTGCAGAGCTGAGTTCCCTACCTTGGCAGTCTGACTCCAGCCCATGCTCTTAATCTTCAGCTAGTTCCTTCCCACCCTCTGCTATCTCCATCAATGGAAATTCTTCTGCTTAGCCTTTAACTTCAAGGTCTAATGCCAGGAACTCTGAGAAGGCTTTCCGGTTCATCTCCCTCTTGGCATCCTGCAGCGCTTTGTTTCAGGGACTCACAAGGCCCTTGACATGTATACTATGTCTTGGATGTTGTTCTCACCTCTGACACCACCTCCACCTCCCCACCCCCCCTCACCGCCAGACTGCAGGCTCCCTGGGGACTGGGCAGCCCTGTGGCTTCTGTAACCGGGCTTCTAGCAAGTGCCTGACAATGACTCTGAGCAAACAGGGCTGATGCATGGGCCAAGTGAATCGTGGTTGGGTTTTGTTAACA